TCAAACTCGTTAATAATTCATCAAGTTTGAACAAAGAAAATCATGACCGTGACGGTGTTTGGATATTTGATCTTAATTGGCATAGATTTTTGCGATTTATTTCTCCGTTTTCTCCTTAGTTTTAGTTTCGACTGAGAAGATATATCAAATACTTAAGACAGTGTTTGACCACATTTCCAAACACCTCGAAGTACGTCAAACATACTCCGCCACGCGTCGTTTTTTCAGCCCTCTTCTCGGTGTTTGGAAATGTGGTCAGACACGGTCTTTCGTGTTTGATATGTTACATCAAGTATTAACCTACCCCGTCCTTCGTTAGTGATCGTCAAAAGTACTTTTTTGCCATCTGGTGAAAACTTTACAACTCGACTATTGCAGTACCTAGATAAAGGGAAAAAGGGAAATCATAATGGATTAATACCAGCATCAAATCATAATGTATTAAATTCAAAGGTCATCTTGTAAGTTGAATCATTATGGCTCAAAAGGAAATGTAAGCATAATTCACTTCAAAGTCAAGAAAAGACTTGAAGTCGAAATGTTTAAGACTACTACTTCAGTTATTAATGATCTTCTGCATCCTCCATATTCTTACATTTTTTTTCATTTAAATATTTCATTAAAATTTACTTGAAATTATTCATGTGAACCTGCTTAAGGACGTACGCGCGAAAATTTTCCAGTCGATAGATTTTTTTTAAATTTTTACTGCAGTCAGATAATGAGTTACTTGCGTCAGAAATACAAAAAAAATAGCATGGTCTACAGGTGTTCATCGTTAAAAATATCGAAGGTGAGTCAACGGAGGCAAACGATCCTAGTCATATTTTGTAGAAGTTTTTGTGGGTCTGTTGCCTAAATGAGCCCAAATGTTACCAACGTTTTCACAAAACTTAACCCTTCAAGAGGCATTTGAAACCGTCGCACAGATAAACGAAGAGCTAAAAAGAACGGAATTCGATGGTGCATTTTGCAAAAAACTCAAACTTCTAGTCGATAGATTTTCTTCATTTTTTCGCCAAACGTAGAAAGTCGGTAGAGAAAATGATCCATCAAAAGTAAAATAGGGGTCACCGAACGTCCAAGATCGTCAAATCCAGGCAAAGCTATAGCAATGGCCATCTGCCCTATAACTGTTCATTTTATTACTGCATGATGTGGCGTGCGAATTTGCGTGCGCAGTAAGGACGCGCAGAAACAATTAGCGCGAACGTCCTTAATAGCCACATTGTTAATCTAGTGTTAATACGGTGTCCGTATAAACACTAAACAGGGCTTAACTTTTATCACATGATTTTATTCGACGAACTATTCGTGGAATGCTGTCTGATTTTAGCCAACTAGTTTGGCCTCGTTGCCCACATGTAAGTATCCGACTATGACATGTGCGATTTTGCAGGACAACAGCTAATCCTAAATGCAAAAGAAGACTTTTTTACCCATCAGAAACAAAGAAATTCCCATCTGAGTCGACAGCAACATCAGTAGGTTTACAGAAATGATTATCATCATCTCCTGGTAAAAACTGTGTTCCAAGTGTCAATGAAGCTTTTTTCTCTCCGGGTGGAAACTTGAAAACCTGCAGGAAGTATAATAAACAAACTGCTAAGAAATTGTAGATCGTTAATTAACAAAGAAAAACATTATTCAAAATAATCTGACAACAATGGTTTAAGTTATTCAGAAAAATGGTTTACATTCAGAAAATAAATTATGTCCATGCAAATTTCTAATCTAATGTGATTTCCTCTTTTTACCACCGTTTTGAGAACATGACTTGAGATTGGTCTCAGTAAAATCAATTCAAAACCATATTGTCCAGTTTTGGTCCACCTATCCACTCCACTAGTGGTAGAAGTACTTACCTGGTGCATGGCTACGTCCGTTAACCACGTGTTGCCCTCGTGATCGATCGTCAGTCCATGAGGCATAAAGAACCTGGATAAGAAGAAACACAGAATTCAAAAGAGGAAACGAATGAGTGTTAGCCTGCGTAGCAATTTAAGCGCAGCCAGATTGCGGAAAAGCTCTTCGTACGGAAACGCTTGCTACGCAGGCAAATGAGTGTGGAGCAAGGAGGAAGGGTGGGGAGGGAGCGAGCACCTGAGCAAAGCCCAAGGAAGATCTATTGAATGACTACAGACAGCCCCTGATGTTTCCCACGAACAATAATCCAGATCAGTGAAATTTGTCTTGATACTCAGATTAACTTGTCATCTAACTCTTATTCTCTTCACTCCTGTGTAGAGTACAGAGATCTTCAGTAGTGATGTTTGGCCATTTGACCCCAAGGATGTAGTATAGGCATCGGTTTACAAAGGCTTGAACTTTAATTGCGATGTTCTTTGTCACTCTTCAAGTTTCTGCTCCATACATCAAGATGGTCTTCACATTGGTATTAAAAATCCCAAGTTTGGTCTTCAGGAATAACTCCTTAGATCTTCACACAGGTCTGAGTAGAAGGAAAGCTGTTGTGGCTTTGCCATACCTCACTACTACATCCTACTCAGGTCCTCCATCAAAGGCTATCACGCTTCCCAGATAGGTAAAGGTAGAGACATCTTCTATGGCCTTGTTGTTTAGCTTGATTGGTCCTTCCTTTGTGCTGTTTATGCGAACTGCCTTGGTCTCGCTTCTTTTGATGGTAAGACCTGCTACTCCTGGAGTTGTGGCCAGCAACTGATTTTATCCTGTGAATGCTTGTGGTTGCGTGAAAGGGAGGTGATATCATAAGTAAAATCCAGATAGGTCAGATAGTGTAGTTGGGAGCAAAGGGTCCACTGGATTCCTGTCCTGTGGAGTCTTCAGTTATGGTCTTCGGTTATCCAGTCCACAATCAAAAGGAATACATCGGATGATAAGATGCAGCCCGGGCGAGCTTCAGCCTTCACGGAAAAGGGCAGTGTAGGTTCTCAGTTGTGTATCTGTTATAGCATGATTTCTGTATAATGGAGGTGAATTTCTGTGGTATTCCATCGTGGTTGAGGTTCTTCCAGAGTAGCGTGTTCTTTTGTCAAAGGCCGTTTTTTACCATAACTGCAGAAATTCTCGCGCACTCGTTGGTTAATTTCATTATCATCAAACGGACAGGCACATGAATTTATGCAATGGTGTTATTGTAAAAAACAAATTGACGTCAGTTTTTCAAGCGTCTGTCCTGTTCTTGACAACGAATTTCGTCATAGCATTGCCAAAGTAGTCTACGGATCCACAGCAACTTTGACAATATCATGAGGAAATTCACGATCAATAAAAGGACAGAAACATAAAAAAACTGGCGTCAATTTGTTAATTCCAAGTCTATGAATGTAATATAGAGTGATGAGTTCCATTCCAGTGACTGCTCCGCAATAAGTTTAAGGGTTGGTTAGTTTTATGGTCAGTGCAAGACCTTCCTTTCTGAATCCCATTTGTTATTTCCTAAAGACCCCATTGAGTTCAGGATAATTCAGCTGAGGATTTTGCTTGGTGCTGATAGCATGGTTATTCCTCTGTAATTGTTACAGTTTGCTAAGTGTCTCTTTTTCGGGTTTTTCACGAGATGACCCTCATTAATTTCCAGTTGGGATCGGAATTCAGCATTCAATACACGTCCTTTTTCTATACCGAGGAAAGTTCGCCCCTATTTCCTTATGTCCACAAGCACAACACCAGCACATAGCACATGGATACTTACATATGTTCTCCCCAGCTGTCCATGACATCGCCCGTCTTTGGATCTAACTTGAGCACAGTCGGCTCCGGAATGGGGTCACTTTGACTCGAGAAAATATTGTGGTCATCAAAAGAACTGCAACAAGAAAATACAATTTACCCTGTGTGAGTGAATTCACTTACTAACTGCAATGGCTATAGCTTTCCAATCTTCCGTAAAGTTTCTTCTTTTTCAAGCCTTGTGCTAGAATTTCGTCAACTTGACTAATTGAACTGGCTTTGTTTTGGAGTTCGTTAAGTTCTTTTGCTATCCAACATACTAGCAGGTCATAAGTACACCGTTCATTTTTTTACACGGTTTATTGATCAATAAAGTGTTTATGTATTCGACCCCCTTTCGAGTTCAAGTTCCACCTATATTTCCCCGAAGCTCGTGAATTCTGCATGTGAATTTGTACTGACCAGGATTAGTAAGGTGAAAATGCATCGGTAATAGCCTCATGGCTGCTGTTTATTGCTTTAGTTGTGAATGAAAGGGGAGGGGGAGACACTAGAACTTTTGTTTCTTGCTCTAGAAAGTGGGGAGTTTTTAGAGAGTAGGATGTACGGCACGTGCGAGGCAGTAAGCATAAATAGCGTAATTAGAACTTGTTCTTACTCTGCTTGCCATATTCTTGATGCACGATGAAATATGAACACATTTCCCTGTGAATCAGTGTCGACTGCAGTAACTTGACCAAGCCCCTGACTGCCTGGGTTGTTTCCCGGCCAACGATTATCTTCCTCAAGTAACAATGATGGTTTTCCTTCAATGCAATATGGCTTGCATGGTCCTAGAACAAACAGACAGCTTGATAAATTACACAGTCTCGGCGCTCTGCTATCAAGTTTCTATCGATGGATCTCCTTGCTTCGTGTGACAAACTGTACACAACACAATACTCATAGAAGGAAAAAAACACAAGAAAAGATCTGAAAGCTATCGACAAGAAAACAAGCTTCTTGGGCTGGACACGCCGCAACATGGCGCGCAATTGTAAGTTACACCGTGCATCCATCCTGGAAATTATGGACAGCAATATTTCACCCACTGCCATTTTATTGCGTGCAATGATGGACGCAATTTGGCACCATGCGTCTGGGAATTCACCCCACTTCTATAAAAGAAGGTGCAATCTGGAATGCTAAGAGAGAAAATATAAGACGGAAAATCCACAGGTGTAATGAGGGGAGAGTAACCCATTATAAAAATTCTCCTATATGAAATGTTGTCTTATTCTAAGCTCTTCAGGAGGAACTGGATGCTGCATCACAAGGTATCTCGATTATCTATCTCTGCCCCAAGCTGGTCAATGAGATAAACGGTAGCAGTTACTTTCAAATTGCGTCAAAAGTTGATCCTACTTAACTTTCATCAAGTAAGTTTTTCTCATTCAATCCTCAGACCAAAAAGCCATTCTCGATATACCCTTTATCTTTATTTGTTTCAGTGTTGTCTCATTCCCAGCCCTTGTTTGGGGCGGTCATACGCGTCAAACAACGGCTGTAGATTCCAACACAGACATTCTTTTGGCTCGTCACGCATTCTTTCATGAGGAGGAAAGATAGCGTGATGAACCCAAAGAGCATCCGTGGCTTTTCAAAGTGAGGCCTGGAGCTTATTTTGATGCTAATCCATTCCATTTAACAATGAAATGTAGCAGTTCTTGTAAGCTTTTAATTCTATTTGTAGTCATAATCTGGCAGCTGGTATCGTTTCTGTTGTTTGTTGTATTGTAGGCAGGGTATCGAGCCATTCATGTGAGACCTTACGAGAGCTGCTACCTGACCCTTGTTAGTACTTAGTACCATCCTTTGCATTCTCTTTCCGAAGAATTCTCTTACTTCCATCCTCACTACTGTTAGTAAAAGGATATTCCCCGTTATCCCCAGCATCTCATGATCATAAGCCCTAACAGAACCGTTGACAATGCTCGTGGCATTAAGAGAGGGTTGTGGGTGAAATGTGATGGGCTCACAACATGGATAAGGTCTATTCACGTTCAAAGCCATATAAAACGCAAGCCATTAAGGAAAACAAGGTTATTCAGAGACAACTTCTTGTGACGAAACACAAAGCCACTGGCTAGTCAGTGAAAAACAAGTAACGAGTATAAAGCTGATAAAAGTAGCTTTATTCTTTCATGGTGCACCCTTTTAATTTAATTTACATTTTACTGAATGTTTGGTGACAAGCAGTTCGTTAGTTTAAGTGGGTTTTAACCATTCACTTAATTCAGAAAAATACAATAAACAATAAATAAGCAAACAAAGCACTTTATGTAAGTGCTGAAAAATACAATGTTGACGAAATTTTGAGCGAATTTCTGCCAGTGCTATATTTAATTTTGTGTTATTTTGAAGAACGTACGCTTTTAAAATAGTCATGACTTATTTGAAAATAACTCGTTAAGTGTCGTTCCTTCCAGTTCTGCCCACACTCCGACAGATCGCGCCTTTCAATGCCGAGCACTTTCATCTGAGCTTGCCTGCGATCAAAGATGAACAAAACGAAACAGTCAGTGCTCTGTGAAGTGATGAAGCAAGATCACGAGTTTCTCATTCAGGAAGATGAAAGTGACAGCAAAGAAAGGCACGCATTAAAGAACATCGCGAAAGAAATACTCTTATACAGAAGTTAACATGCAGACAGAGTTTTGCCTGCTGAGTTTCCCATCTGGTAATAGCAAACTGAAGTACGTTACATGACAAGAGAAAGGAAAGTCTTGGCTAATGCCCATGGAGTTTTCTGAATTACATAAATTACTGGAATTATGACTTTAAAACTCCCTTTAAAACTCAGAAACAGAACTTCAACTCGCTGATAGAGACTTCACCCAAACAACTAACAACTTGATACTGTTTGGACAAAATTGTAGACTTTAAGACTCCACACTAGTTTTACCAAACATTTCTTTCCAATGTTATTTCCAAATTTCAGTGTAGGGGATTGGAGGAGACAGCAAAAATTCAAGATCTTTTGCCTAACATACGAAAATTGCTGATACATGAAACAAATGTCCTTTAGTTCATGATCTTCTTAACAAAGCTAGAAAATAAACTGACATTGTGACAAAAAGGTAGATCTCAATATGTCACAATTTCCAGTCGTGAACTTTTCGCAAAGAAAGGCTGGATGTGATTGGGTTGTGCCAGTTTCAAGAAGAATTGGAGAACTGTGATGAATGTTGCTTAGATTAATTAGCCAAGACAACCAACAAACAAGCAAGCTCACCATCCTCAAGGTTTCTTTTCATCTCCATTTTTTGTCCACTGCCCGGTAAAGGCACATCAGAGTCCATGGGGAAATCTAGTTTATCTTCATACAGAACATCGCAAGAGTCCTCAACGCTTTTCCCGAGTTCACCCTCTCTTGGATCATACCAGTACATCATGTAAANAAGAGGACGTCAAGATGAGAAATCCTACACCGAAAAATCACTCGGCCGTGAAAGGGCAAACTCTTGGGCTTAGGAGGTAGTCCCTCCTTTCGCGCGCTCATAACCCCCAGGATTTCGCGCGGCCATTTTTTTCTCACGAATTTCTTTCGCGTCACGCACGACGGACTAAGCGAAAAAGAGACTACTCGTAATCTACTGGCGGCCAGCCCAGACGTTGAATACGATTAATACGTGACATTAGACTGTTGGCGATTGCATCACAATTTTAGTCGTTTATAAGACAATGTATGAGTGCTTCGAAAATTGCACTCAATGCTACGTAAAGAGAATAACTTCAATAAAAGTAGCTTACCTCATGTTTCTATTGCGTTATCGTGATGTCTCTGTGTTCCTGGAGGCGGTTTAGAGCCATTTAGGCGAGTTATTCAATTAATTTCTACGCGTAGCATTTAGAGCAATTTTCGAGGCATTCTCACACATTGTCTTATAAACGGCTAAAATTGTAACGCAATCGCCAACACACTAATGTCACGTATTAATCGTATTCAACGTCTGGGCCGCCTGTGATGGTACACAGTGGGAGCCTAATAAACAATGTATCATCTTGTCCCTGTACAGGACAAGGGAATGCAACTAAATGCTTACATACCCGATATATGTTATTCTTTCTCTCTTCATTGAATCATAGGTGCATCGGGCAGCCTGTGAATAATAACGATGTTTTCTCATCAACAGTTGTGATGATGACAAATACTGAGGAGAGTAACCAGTCACACTAGCCAGACTAACCAGTTGAGCAAAAAAATCCAAAGACACTTCAAAACAATAATAAGCATAAAAAAAGAATCACAGAAGAGAGAAAATAATCAAATGTGGTAAATGTGCTCAACAGTCGTCATTTGGTGTTTGTTTAGCAATGCCAATATTGTCCAATTTGTATGGCAATATGGTCTACAACAATACACTTATGGTACATTTGTCAGTAATACATTGTAAATCACATGACATTTAGGCATTAGCATAAACTAGCCTAGTGTTACTTGGCCTGCATGATCTAGTCTAGTGTGACCTAGCCTAGCGTCACCCATTTCAGTGAGACCAACATGACAAAGCAATTTTCTTTTCTGTGTGGACTAACCTAGGGTGACCTGAACTGGAATATTGTACCTACTATAGTTCTAAGAAGCTTGTGTGACCCAGTCTAGCGTGACAGGATATACTTATTATGCAATGTTGCGTGACATAACCTCGTGAGACAAAACAGTTAAGAAAGGGGAAAAAATTCTGCAATTCTTACCATAGAATCCCCACTTTTTATCGTGACATCTTTTTCTATTGGGTAAAATGCCTGGAAACAAAATGAAGATGAAAGTAACTGATGTGCAAACTTTGTAGTGCACCTGTCTATACATGTATACTGTTAGAAAAACCTCAGGAAACTGTTAATCTGAAGGATGTTTGAACAAATGCAACCTTAGAATTTGTTTCTTTGTTTTGCTTTTCTGGCTTAGTTCATATTTTACTCAATGATGTCCTTCCTTTCTGGCAGGGCTATGATATGTTTAATCAACCAACACCCATGCACAATCTTGAAAAACATCTACCACTGTTCATGTTTTTTGTATAATCATGAAATCATCTTGGAGCAATTTAGTATCATTTTCCTTGCTTCACTTCATAAAATAAACAAACATTCCAATTTGCCCATATGGCCTTGCACAAAACTAAAAGGATGAAAATGATATTCGTCTGTATGAAAATGAAGTTAAAGTAACAACAAGACTAGTTATCTTGCCTGAGGTCGCAGTGGATCACCCTTTCCTATTAGTGTCCATTGTTTGTCACGTATTCTGTAGCCACTGATAACACTCCCTAAAACAGCATCACAAAACATTTTGCTTGAGTGGTGAATTTTCATCTACTAAGAGGCAGTGTCCTGGCTGATTATCGAAAATAATCTTTCCTAATTTCCAGATTATATTGACAAACATCACCAAATATACAACTAAATTGGATAAAAAGTTTCTACAGAGAAAAACAGAATAAGTATTTTGGGAAGAAGTACTGGATTATAAGGATGGAAGTGGAATACTGTTCATCAAATTTGATTTTGTGACACAAGGACAAGAAATTTTTAATTCCTAAGTCATTATTTCTTTTCTTTTAGTTGATAAGTTTTTCCTTCTACATCTTCCAGTTTTGGCAGTTTTTCTTCCTATTGCAAAATAATAAAGTATTTTGATCACAGAGAAGTAATTTTCTCACTCCATATATTAAATACTGCTACACCTGCAATACCAGTGGCCCTGGGTGTTGCAAAAATTATAGATAAATTTATATTTCAGTGAATACAGAATATTGAAAGGTCTTACCTATGGAATGTGCATGGACTCTAAAGGCAAATGGATGTAACTCAGGTCCATCTCGGTAATGGCAGCCAGTGTCCAAATGCCATGCTGAATGAAGAAAGAAAAATGATGTGAGCTTTAAGTAGGAAAATGTTTTTTTGGACAGTTCTTTAAATTTAGTATTGTGATTGTCTAAGACATAAAAGAAATATTTTAAAGAATTTAATAAAAGAATATTTAAAACTTCCAAAATGATGAAGTATAAATGAATGAAAGTTCTTGCATGAAAGTGTATAACTTGCCAAATGTTCTTTTTCAATATAAAGTCTTTATACTGGTAATACAAGTCAGCAAATGGTGAACTGGCTAACTGACAGACAGACAGACAGACATGAAGAAAGAGAACTATCTTAATTCCCATAAAGTACACGTAGTACTATTAAAACTTACAACATGTACACCATTGAACTGTTACAAAAGTAGAAAGAGCTTTGTGTTGATCGGTGAATGTTCTGTTAGTTTAGCTAAAAACAGAGCTTATGTGAGACATATTCTTTTGTTTACAATAATTCAGTTTTGTCTGTCATTTGTGAAGTAGAGGTCTTGGTTGAACATAAATTTTGACCATGTTACATTTATATTAAATGATATCCATTAACCTTTCTCGTGTTCTGGAATTTCTCCCCCAGATGCTAAAAGAAATATCGCTGCCAAACGACTAGGTCTGTGATAGATGAGAGAAAAAGAAATACAACTTTTATATAGTAGGGTACGAGACAACAACAGAGAACAACACAAATATGCATGACCTCCTTTCATGAAACCACGGATAATAATCACAAATTGAGTAGATAATTATACAGTCAAATAAATGCACTGAGGGCTCACCAAAAGTTTAAATACAAGGAAAGAGCTTTTAATGGTGACTGGTGTAAGTAACAACCTCCTTCTCCACCACCTTCACACCAAACCCCTTTGAGCTACCTGGATTTGCCACTGGGATTAGCTAATTAACTTTCAGCCAATACATACATGTGCTTTTTACATATGTCAAATAGTTTGTCAATCCTTCACAAATTCTCAGTTCTTTCATTGTCTTAAATACAGAACTGCTGAATAAAAAAAATGTTATACTAAAAAAAGATTTATAATATTAAAAACTAGATATCTTTATTGATTTAAAATTGTTATTAATAGTTTTAAAAAGAACTAAAAATTCACAGTTCAAATTGTGATAAATGGTTACCTTAATTTTAGAATATATAAAACGACTTGTTACTATATTATTTCAAAGGTGACACGTTTTAATGCTATTATTATAATTACTACTCAGGAATAAATGTGTTGAATGCTTTATTTTTTTAGAATTTTAAAAGTGACACTTAAGTGTTTGAACATCAGGCAAGTTATACACTAAAAACTTAATGATCAAACAACAGCCTCAAGTACCAGTAATCAAAACATTTGGCAAAAAGTAACCTTTTTAGTATTCTATTTTTTTACACTAAGTTTTAAGTGACATTTATGTTTAATGATTAGAAGTTAATAGCCTTGTTATCTAAAGTTTTAACCTTGTTTTTTGGGTGGGATTAGTGACCATCCAACAGCCAAGACCTTGATTGCTGCCAGGTATCTTGGCCTAATAGAAGGCAGTAAGGGAGTTCTAAGCTACCAGACAATTAATGATTTGATTTGACATGAAATTGCAGCTGGTTATTCAGAGTATCAAAAGCAATGTTAGGATATTGGCAAGAGGTGGAGGAGAGGGATAAGAGGGGAAAACAGAGAATGTTTGGGAAAAGGGAATTAAGAGACTGGAGGAGAGGGAAAGAGAAGGTCAGGGAAAGGAAGAGAGGGGAAGAAGGGGGAAGGGCCAGGGAAGTGGAGTGGACAGGTGGGTGATAAAGGCTGGAGAGAAAAGATGGAAAAATGAGCATTTATAATAAAACAATATATTACCTACACTGTAGAAGAAATTAACCGCTGAAGATACTAATTATTTAAGTCGGGTTTTTTTCAGAAAAACTATTACTAATCTTTTTCATTAACATTTTATTTGTCATGTTTAATTCAGTTTAGTTTAGTTTATTTCGATAATTTGTTCAGATTGCTCAGATCCCTAAAATTATTCGGTAAACATATTTATTTTTTTTAACTCAAAAGTGTACTCATGAGTCTTTTAAACATTTTAGCACTAACAATGCAAGTGATAATTAAACATATTAGAACATGTCTGTACAAAACTTACGGTACTGATGTAGTGAGCAAGTCCACTCCAGAGTAATCTTTCAGGGTAGGATTGGCTGTGAGGAGTTTAAAAAAAACTGACTGTTTAAGGGATACATACATATGTAGAGGATATTACACAGCGGCACTGACTACTGTTTGAAAAAAAACTGTGAAAAAGTGGAAATTGATATCATCAATATCCTCGCTGTTCAGGATATGGAATATATGCCACTCAGTTCCTGGATGTAGTTTTTTTATGAATTCTACAAGTGGTGTATTTTCCAGTAATAATAAACAACATGCATACTGAGGAGACACACGGCTCTTCCATTTCCTGGAACACAATTAGTAAGACATACTGCCAACCAAGAGGTGCCTGACATGGACAACCATGGTGCGGCGTTTTGAAGGTAAACTTAAAAAGTTAAGAAGATCTGTTGAAAAATGTTGCTGGATGCAAATTGGTCTCAAAATTAGTGGTCTTCAAATACTATCCCACCCTTTTGATTTTCTGGGGTGTTTCTGTGTGTACTGGATGAAAATGAGTTGCAGAACAGTTTTACCTTAAGTTTGTATATGTTCTCTGTATTTTGGAACAGTATTGTATCTTGTCTTTTATTTTCTTTGCATTACATCAACTGTGAGTGATAC